TTGGGCACCATTCCTTCCCTCCGTCCTATCCCAAATCCTTATCCTGACCCCTTCCCAGTGGTATATAGTCGTAATGGCTTGGCGCTCCCCCCCCCCCCCCCTGATAGTTCCCTTCCCTTCCCGCCTGCGCTCAAGAGAATCCCCTCACTCTCTCTCTCTCTCTCTCTCTCTCTCTCTCTCTCTCTCTCTCTCTCTCTCTCTCTCTCTCTCTCTCTCTCTCTCTCTCTCTCTGGTTGATGCCTGCTTGATGGGGTTCTGGGAGTTCTTCTACTCCCCAATCCCAGCCCGAGACCAGTGAGAGTTTGGTCCAACAGGCTGTTGCTTGGAACGACCCACAGGCCCACATATCCACTACAGCCTGGTTGGTCCGGCACTCCTTGGAGAAAATGATCTAGTTTTCTCTTGAAGATGTCCACGGTTGTTCTGGCAATATTTCTTATGCTCGCTGGGAGGACGTTGAACAACCGTTGACCTCTGATGTTTATACAGTGTTCTCTGATTGTGCCTATGGCACCTCTGCTCTTCACTGGTTCTATTCTGCATTTTCTTCCATATTCCAGTATGGACATACCGGAACATACATACCATATGTATGTTGTTATTTTATTGTGTAGATTTGTTACCTGTAACTCCAGTATCTTCCATGTGTACATGATTTGATATGTACATTTGGAGGGCTTTGAGACGATCCCAATAATTTAGGTGCTTTATCGCGTCTATGTATGCCGTATATGTTTTCTGTATTCCCTCTATTTCAGCAATCTCTCCTGCTCTGAAGGGGGAAGTGAGTACTGAGCAGTACTCAAGACGGGACAACACAAGTGACTTGAAGAGTACAACCATTGTGATGGGATCCCTGGATTTGAAAGTTCTCGTAATCCATCCGATCATTTTTCTGGCTGGCGCAATATTTGCTTGGTTATGCTCCCTAAACGTTAGGTCGTCGGACATCATTATTCCCGAATCCTTTACATGCTGCTTTCCTACTATGGGCAGATTTGATTGTGTTTTCTACCCTGTATTATGTTTAAGGTCCTCATTTTTGCCGTACCTGAGTACCTGGAATTTATCACTGTTAAACATCATGTTATTTTCTGTTGCCCAGTCGAAAACTTTATTAATATCTGCTTGAAGTTTTTCAATGTCTTCAGCCGAGGTAATTTTCATGCTGATTTTTGTGTCATCAGCAAAGGATGACACGAAGGTGTGCCTTGTATTTGAGTCTATATCTGATATGAGAATAAGGAAAAGCAGTGGTGCAAGGACTATATCCTGAGGTACAGAACTTTTAACTGCGCTTGGACTCGATTTTATCTGATTGACTGTAACTCTCTCTCTAAGACTAGGGTTCATTATTGAAGTACCTGCCCCTAGATTTTTTTTAGGAATGACATTTTCTTAATTCCAAGTAACAATCAGTCATAAAAGGAAGAGAATGAGCCAGTAGCCACCGGTGTACCAGAGCCTTCATACGATGGGTTGACCTGATCTCCCTCGTATCAACCTGCTGACCAAACAAATTACAAGTGCGAGTCAGCCTAGGAATGAATGATTGCTGATGTAGTGATTTTCTTGAGAAAGGCAGTTGAGGCTGTTGATGGCTGAGAGCCTTGTGTCGCGGCTACCAACTACGGGTTGTCCACGAGGCTGAGCCAGGTGCGGAACTTTGAGAATGTTGGTCTTGTACATCACGTCACGACGCTGTTGCAGGCTCTGATGTTTGCACCCTTCCCACCAGACCTGGTCAAGATTAAAGATGAGCCTTCTTGCACGGTTCTCCACTTTGTTGAAAATTCAAATGAATGATGAAGGGCAGGCAGTCCAGGAAAGGGGTGCATACTCAGGATGGGAGCGAACTTGTGCTTTATATAAGGTTTTGCAACCCCTGCTGTCAAGAAGGTGCCCCTCGCGCCATATATGTCAATTTTATCCCACTTGAAAGCTTGTTCGATGCAATGCAATGTTCTTTGCAATGTTCAACCTAGTTATCATCATCGCCTGTGTTTTCTCAGCCGCAGATGTGACCTGCCATCTCTCTCTCTCTCTCTCTCTCTCTCTCTCTCTCTCTCTCTCTCTCTCTCTCTCTCTCTCTCTCTCTCTCTCTCTCTCTCTCTCTCTCTCTCTCTCTTTCTCTCTCTCTGCTGCAGTAGTAGCATTCAGCCGCAACATCAGCAGCAGCAACAGCAGCAGCAGCAACAGCAGAAGACGTGTATGAAGCAGCGCCTTTCCAGGAATCCTGGAAGTCGGCGAACCCGCTCGTTAAACTGGCAGAGGAGCTCACAGCCGCGCCTGTGAATCGATAAGCGGCCGTCCACCGCCTCTGATCTGGCCCCTGCCTCCCTCAATACGAGGTTAACGAGGAGCTCTGGCCCCTGCCTCCTTCCATACAGGGTTAACGAGGGGCTCTGGCCCCTCCCCCCTTCCATATGGGGTTAACGAAGCAATCCAGCTCCTCGTTTACTAACGAGGAGCTGGATTGGTAAACGACGGTTCTGAATACGACGTTATTGAGGTACTGGAAAGTGAGGTTGGTTAACGAAGTGCTAAGGTACAGGTGGGAGAAAGGATCGGCTTAGCTAACACAGTGCACGTTAACCACCCAATTAAATCTGGTCCAATAATACAGCCATCAATTATAATATGACTTTGCCTAGAAAATGATCTACCTCAAGGCAATGACGTCACTTAGCACGGCGAGCATTGTCGACAGGAAGTTACAATAACGCTGCTGAAAACTAAACAGGCACCCCCCTCCCCCCCCCCCACACACACACACACACATACACACACTTCGCTGGAAGATAGAAGAGTTAGGGGGGACATGATCACCACATTCAAGATTATGAAGGGAATTGATAGGGTAGATAAAGACAGTCTATTTAACACAAGGGGAACACGCACAAGGGGACACAGGTGGAAACTGAGTGCCCAAATGAGCCACAGAGATATTAGAAAGAACTTTTTTAGTGTCAGAGTGGTTGACAAATGGAATGCATTAGGGGGTGATGTGGTGGAGGCTGACTCCATACACAGTTTCAAGTGTAGATATGACAGAGCCCGATAGGCTCAGGAATCTGTACACCTGTTGATTGACGGTTGAGAGGCTTGACCAAAGAGCCAGAGCTCAACCCCCGCAAACACAACTAGGTGAGTACACACCAGAGGGTCATGGCTGTGACGACGTTTCGGTCCCTCCTCGACAATGGTCTACGGTGGACTGAAACGTCACTTCCATTATTTTCAGATGTGTGAGGGTTGGGCGCCTCACACACACAAGTCCTCATAAGAGCTGCAGCTCATAAAGTTTTTCGTTGATTCAGTTTATGAGACATTGATTTATGAGACATTGATTTAGTGATTGGGTGTGCTTGCGTATCGTATTTACTTCTGCCGTTGATTTAACACACGAGCGATTTAAGCATATGTATTAAAAAGTAAACATAGCCTAATATACTTGATTTATGAGACATTTCGTGTAATGGGACAAACAGAGGGTGTGCTTGCTTTATATTTACTTCTGCCGTTGTTTAATATATATATATATATTAAAAGTAAATATATATATACTATATATATATATATGGGACGACTTTATATATATAACTGAAAACTCACACTCCCAGAAATGACTCGAACCCATACTGCCAGGAGCACTCTGTAATTGGTGTACCGGACCCTTTAACAACTCGAAGTTAAGGGGTCCTGTACACCAGTTGCAGAGTGCTCCTGGCACTATGGGTTCGAGTCACCTTCTGGGGTGTGAGTTTTCAGTTGCATATATGCCTGGGGACCATTCAGGCTTGTTCGCATATATATATATATATATATATATATATATATATATATATATATATATATATATATATATATATATATATATATATATATATAATATGCTCCTCTAAATATGTGTGGTTTCCTCCGAGGCTAAGGGTCCCCCTTCCTCCCAGCCAGAGGTGGTATATATATATATATATAATATATATATATTGTACCTATATAGCATATATATATATATATATATATATTATATATATATATATATATATATATATATATATATATACACAACATATATATGTTGTACCTAGTAGCCAGAACTCGTACTCGGCCAACTATGCAAGGCCCGATTTGCCTAATAAGCCAAGTTTTCCAGAATTTATATAATAAATTGTGTTGGTAAATTAGGCTATCACAGTATGATAATTTCTCTTTGAACAAACCCGAGTGGGGTGGCGTCCGGGGGGGGGGTGTTCGAAGTAACCCTAAACTATTATAAAAACAGTTTGAACTTTTACTAAGAATTTACTTTCAGAATTGTTTGAGGAATTGAACAGTATTCGTAAGGTTATATTCCACAACGTTCTCGTTTGCCATGATGTGACTGTTTACTGATCATAAGTGGAGAGTTCTCTGTTCACCCGACGAAATGTTCTCGCGTGTTGAAGGTTAATGTGAAATGTTAGGTTAGGATATATCAGGTTAGATTGGGATTGGTCAATTTAGGTTAGGTTAAAAAACCTTCATTAACACCGAAACATATATATATATAAATTAAATATTGTTTATAAATGACCGATAAAAAAGTCCACAAGTATTTGTGGACAAAATCAAAACAAGTTGATTTTGAACAAAAGTGCAAGAATCTAATGAACACAAATCTATATATGTAGTGGAAATAAACACCCCCAAATATGTGCCTGGAACAAAAGCCCGCAATTACCATAATGGGAACAAAAACTAGTACGTATCTAATTGGGAGGAAAAATTCTACATGTTTCTAATGGGAACAAAACTATGTAAGTATGTACTTAGGAATAAAATTCGGTAAATATATAATATGTGAAAAAATTCCGTAATATTTAATAGAATATCGCTTATAATCAGGTAATAAGTTCGAACAACAGGTAAAAAAAAAAGGGCTTTCTTTACCATGTCAAAGAGCAGTAATAGCAACAAAAATATCAGTATATATATTTTCTCACGTAGACGCCGGAGCCATGAACGACAGTAACCTCGCCAACACTGTCACAAAAACTTCAACCTTAGAGCTGAGACGAGTATCGAGAGTCAGATCTAGTCCGGACGAAGGTTGGCCTGATAGTGGCCGATAAATTATAGTTTATGCGGAAACGATTCAGAGAGAGAGAGAGAGAGAGAGAGAGAGAGAGAGAGAGAGAGACAAGGGGGCGGGAGCGTGGGGGGGGAGGTGGAGGGAAAGAAAGGTGCTCTATCTTCACCTTTACGACAGTCCATCACAATAAACTCAGGAGAAGGTCGTGTTTATATTTCAGTGGGAGTAGGAGCGGGTAGCGTGTCGTCGCCCACACCACCTCGACGACCTCAGTCGCCTCATGAACAATGTCCACCTTTACCTGTACACTTCTATATTCTTGATACGACCGCTGCAGCCTCGTATGTCGCCCTTCTCTCTCTATAATTCAAGGAATCTGGAGTGTTGTTGCGCCGCTCAAGACCTGCCGCCCGGCCGCTTGTGGGTAATGATGACCAGCTGTTGCTGCACCGAAGCACCGGATTATCGTTACCAGAAAATACTTGGTTTAATTATTATAATCCATTTTGCATTAATGATAGTATAACGGATTATACCGAGTTATTTGTTATATAATCCATTTTGCATTAATGATAGTATAACGGATTATACCGAGTTATTTGTTATATAATCCATTTTGCATTAATGATAGTATAACGGATTATACTGAGTTATTTGTTATATAATCCATTTTGCATTAATGATAGTATAACGGATTATACCGAGTTATTTGTTATATAATCCATTTTGCATTAATGATAGTATAACAGATTATACCGAGTTATTTGTTATATAATCCATTTTGCATTAATGATAGTATAACGGATTATACTGAGTTATTTGTTATATAATCCATTTTGCATTAATTATAACAGATTATACTGAGTTATTTGTAGGCGCCATGAGGAGGAGGAGGATTCGTAGCTCTGCTCTGGGTACTCTCAAGCACATAGGTTCGAATCTTCTTCATGGCTCCTAATGATTTTTTTTTCATTGATGCATCTCGTTCATGTGATTTCTTTGTGCGTTAAGTTTTTCGTTTACATTACGTGATCAAACACCCATATATCGGAAACACAGCGAGAAGTTTTTATATTTTGTATTATATCATTCCCTTTAACCAACATATTTCAGCCAACAATAAAATAGTCATTTTTATTCTAATTAAGTGACGGCAACCTCAATAGTACTGTACAAACACAGAATTTATTGTATTTTTTAATTTTTTTTTCTGTGCAACTTTCTCCCCGGGGCTTATCATTGACCATGTATCACTCGTGTTCATCATTAACACTGTATATATATCAAGTGATAAACATGTATCACACAGGTCACTACCTACAAAATTCTCAGAGGAATTGACAGGGGAGGTAAAGATAAACTGTTTAACACGGGCGGAACGCGAACAAGGGGACACAGGTAGAGACCGAGTACCCAGATGAGCCACAGGGACGTTAGAAAGAACTTTTTCAGTGTCAGAGTAGTTAACGGATGGAATGCATTAGGTAGTGATGTGGTGGAGGCTGACTCCATACACAGTTTCAAATGTAGATATGATAGAGCCCAGTAGGCTCAGGAACCTGTACACCTGTTGATTGACAGTTGAGAGGTGGGACTAAAGAGCCAGAGCTCAACCCCCGCAAGTACAACTAGGCGAGTATAGGTGTTAACCACGTATCTTGAGGTTATCTTGAGATGATTTCGGGGCTTTAGTGTCCCCGCGGCCCGGTCCTCGACCAGGCCTCCACCCCCAGGAAGCAGCCCATGACAGCTGACTAACTCCCAGGTACCTATTTACTGCTAGGTAACAGCAGTAACAGCAGTATCACACAGTGCTCCACAATGCATCACAGCACTTACCATATATCACGGTATTCGGCACTTATCACAGCACTCACCATGTATCACAGTGGTCACCATTCTCCATATATTATTCCCTCCCAAGGGCTAACCATTTACAGTTCAGTCTTCTCATGGAACACCTACGTCCCCAGTTCTGCTCCGCCCTCCTTGACGAAATCCAGTCCAAAGCCGTACGTCTTGTCAACAGCCAGTCACTCGCTAAAACCTTTTCTCCACTTTCCAGCGCATTTTACATTTCCTCTTTGAAGTCTGCCGTTACTTCAGCAGTAGTCTGCCTCTACATCAGCACTGGAGAGAAGATTCGTGTTAGAATTATTAATCTTACCCTTTCGCTCATATTCAACAACATATATATATATGACTAAGGCCAGGATTCGAACCCATGCTGTCCAGGATCACCCCTAAACGTACACAGTACCGTGACCACCGCACCAATGATCGTCTCATCAGCACTGGAACGAATGATACTCTGCCTGTACTTCAGCAGTAGAGGGGGTATGATAGTCTACTATATATCAGCACACAACGAAGTCCACTACGGGCTCACCATAGCCCGTACTACTTGGAACTTTTTGTTCCAAGTAGCGAATCTTAAACAACAACAACAACAACAGCACACAACGCTTAAGGTTAATTACACAATGAGGCGCAGTTCGCGTGTTGGCACTGCGAGTTGGCACCTGAACTATGATAAGGGTCATGGTCTTAATTTAGCCCGTTCCCACGATTTGTCACTCCGTAAATAATGCAGCTGTTTTGTCTAACCTAAATCTTACGAACCCAAACAACCTACGTAATCTATCGAGTCAAAGGCATAGAAAACATCAATATTATGAGGCTTTAAATGTTCATAACACGCTCTATTTTTAACCAATTGGTCGACTCTATAAAAAATTGCGACGCATTAAGTGAAAGAAGGGTGTAGATAGAGGTTAATAGACCATAAACCTTACAGTCCAAGCACCGATGGACTACCTCTCACTCCCTACAAACCATCCATGTCCCTATTTTTCATATTAATTAAATCCACGATCAACACTTGGATGAGAACACAGTATTCCAGAAGATTGCAAGATCAATATTCCTCCCGAGTACTACGGTGACTACACTGTCAGTATCGTGCCCCTCCCCCCCCCCCCCCAACCCCACCCACCACTCCCCTTCCACAACCTGAGGGCGAGTAGGCTATAGTAAGAGCACTCTCCCTTCCTATTGATTGATCATTCCTCCTCTCGGGGACACGCGTCCACTCCTACAAGATTTTATTGTGAGATGGTACACACTCCTTCCGTTGTCTGGGAAATTATTTACCTCTCGAGGATACGTCACGAATTCTTTGGATTCGAGTGAGGTGGGAGGGAGGCTGTGGATTTCCACACGTGCATCTCCCTTTAGTACTAGAAAGAGTGTGTTCACGTATACAGATAAGGGATGAAGTAATGTATTCATTTGTTAATTGGTTTGGTGCGTGTTAAAGAAAAGCTTAGTTGGGATTAAATGGAAGAGACCCGTTTTCTGTGGAGGCTGGAACTGTACCTGTAGTTCCCAGAGCATTTGTTGGGTGTCGAGTAAAATATTAATAAGTCCGTCTGCAAAAGTGTGGGATTTAGCATAATTTGGTTTAAAGTCCCTTGATTTCAGTAACGCATATATACAGTTGTGCCTTATAAAGTGGCTAAAAAGCATCATAAACATAGTCTGAAAGATTTACAAAGTTTTGCACATAGATGTTTATTATTAAAAATCGATTTGAGGAGTAAGAGTTGGGGGCAACGCGCTCATGTTCCTTCGTTTCTGTGAGGATCGCCGGATGTCGCAATGGCTCGGTCGGCAGATGCCGTCCATGTAGCGAGACCAAGCTAAAATATAGCGAGCATTTAATTTCTTTTACCGGTAGATGAAAAGCTAATATGTAAACTACATAATAGCAAACGAAACGTAAGAGAGAAGAAGAAATAACTTAAAAAAAGAAATCAGTACAGTTTGCCGTCGCGGGGAGGGTGAAGAGTCGCTCTACTGAGGCCTCCGAGGTGCTGTTGGCCTTATCCATCACCGACACAAGCTGAAATAATGTTCCATAAAAGAAAGCCATATATATCAGCGGCACGTTTGTAGCAAGACAACCATCCATCACTGAGGATCACACCCACCACCACAGACCTCTTCCACCAACCTCCAAACACCTGTAAAACAAAGAACACACACAACACAAAGCTATTGCGTTCTGACTTACTGTTGAAAAGTGACAGATAAGGATTGGAAAGCAAAAACAATACTACCATCTTGTTTTTGTAAATCTTAAGGAAAACAAAAATATTTTTTTCTGTGATATGAAAATGCGAATTTTGTAATATTATTAATGTTTTTTTTTATTACAAAATAGACTTGTACCTATTGCTTATTATTGAAAGGAAATAATATTCTTATTTTGTCATTTGTGTCCACTAGGTGCCACTACTGTTCTAGTGGCGGTATACAGTAGTAATTCTGCAACTGTCCACTAGGTGGTCACCTGTATTTCTATTGGTTGAGCGACGACCTCGTTTCTTGTAGGGTGAGCGTTTAGTCCCCGATGATCCACGCGGCTTGGCACCTTTCCTTCCATATATTCCAACTTACCCACATATCCCTTCCGAGTGCCATATAATCATGTCAACTTAGCTCTTTCACAACATCCGAGCACCTCTCCTGTGCCAGGTAAGTCCACTACGGGCTGACCATAGCCCGTGCTACTTGCCCCGCTCCTGTGCCAGGTAAGTTACGGGTTGACCATAGCCCGTGCTACTTGGAACTTGTTCCGAGTAGCTGAATCTATAACAACAACTGCGTCGTAATGTTGTTAAGCCTTCCCTCCCCTCGCTTGAGAAATACAGCCATGGGAGAAGTAATGTCTGTGGCGCAGTGTTGCATCTCTCACGTCTTAATACACGGCCCACCACCACCCGCTCTCTCACCCGACACTCTCCACTTCTTACGGGGTCGATCAGTCTGCAACAAATGCGAGTTATTATTAACACTTAAACCAACGTAATGTTGACGTTTTCTGCTCATCGGTCTCGATAGGTTAAGTGGGTTGCTTGGGTGCGTATGTATCTGGTTAGGTAATACAGTTGCATTATTTATGGAGTGACAAGCCTCCAGCCTACACACATCGGTACAAATCAAACATAATAGTAATCCCCATAAGAGCGGCTAACACAATACCCAACTCTTGCAACTCTTTGAAATATAATATGGATTTTTTTTCCTGTAAGTAATAGCCAATCCTGGACCTCCCTGGGAGAAAATCCTGCTCTCTCTTGATTGAATCTGGACCTTTATCTCTGATATGTTGGCCAGTAGGAGTCGGTCCCCTGTCCTGTTAACAACACCGTTAAACTTCAGTCACATGATTGTTCTCACCTGTGACACACTGCCACGTCAGTATCTAAGAGGTTCGTAGACCTGCAGATTTGGTAATGTATACACATAAAGCAAAAGAAACACGAGAAAACAAAAT